ACCTGTTTCCTGTAAGGGCAAAAGGTATCTCGAGTATAATAACGGCGAGGCAGCGAGATGCGTGTGAGGGGAGGAGGGTCGCTCGGTATGCGGGCAGCCGCTCCACACCCACTTCCACCTACACCTCGCGCACTCTCGCGCCCGCCTTCTCCAACTGAACTTTCTGCGGCGGGGTTCCGATCACGGACTTTTGACCAAAGGGTATTATGCTATGTGATCTATTTTATGAGCCTGGCTGGCAGGGGAGGGAGTTTACCCTTTTCCCGTCCCATTGGTCGCTCGCGTGCGTGTCGGCAGGTGGCAGCAGCGTAGTAGTACAGCTGTACGACAATATGGTTTGCGGGGCCTTGCTGGCAGTGTGGTGCTCGGTGACCACGGGATAGCGGGATCAGGGAGACCGTCTGGGTGCGGAGGTTACGTAGTTGCGGTGGAGTGACTAAGTTGGGGCGGGGACCAGTATCCTTTCGAATACATTGTCGCGCGTTTGAATTCGGGGAGGGGATGCTCACTCCCCTGCTCGCGATGAACCGGTGTTCAGATTGCGTGCATTTTAGTGAGAGATACACGTGATGTTAGTGCAACTGATTGGTAAAATGAAGCAAGCTGTTATGGCGGAGGAATGTAGTGCGAGCGTGTGAAGCAATGGTAGAGCTCGAAAGCGGTCTGGGTCCACACAAGAAATCGTGGCATGCTGCGAAGGTGGCAGTGATAGCAGCAGCAGCGCCGGCTAGCTGACCCTCGCCGCGACGGAGAACACAGGCGCTCACGACTCACAGCGCCATGTGGAGGCGGCTGCTGACTGCCCTTGGCCTCACGCGGGATTTCACGTGATTCCCCGATAATATGGAAGGCGCGCACACCCACATAAACTCCTCGGAGGGAGACCTGACGCGAAGGAAATACCACACCAGAACCATTCACAGATCTGATAAACGGGGCGGAGGAGGAGGAGGAGGAGGAGGAGGGTACGGTCGCGAGTCCAGCAGATCAAGGTACCAGGGCAGGAGGAGTCGAGACCGGCATGGTAAGACCTCGTGTGAATTCGATAGTTAAGGAAGATTATTTTTGTAAAGAAAGTTTTTGAGTTAAATAACCGAATTGTAGTTAAAAAAAAAAAAAAAAAAAAAAGTGGCCGTGAATTATTAACTGTTGTGAAAGAAAAAAAATGGCACTCAAGGAAATTGGTGTTATTTTCTCATTTCATTAACTTGGGATGAACTGAACCTCAAATTTTAAGAAAAGATTGAGAGAATCACACAAGTTGTTACAATAAGAAATAGGTATAGTGTTTTTTCTTTTGTAAGGTTTATGAATTTCTTACACCAAATGGCTCGCAGGTATTCAAACCCAACACGGTTTCCTAGAAAGGAGTAAGGAGCATTCATAAGGATCTTGGAAGAAAATTAAGGCACTGCTAGAGAGATAGTCACCACATTGCTAAGTGGAGTGAATACAATGGCCATCAAGCATTTATAGGTGGCTCCTTCATTCAGTCTTAAAGGTCAGACAAACAGGGATAAGCCATAACTTGTACCGAGATTTATCTACTTGTCAAGTGTATGCATTTGTGAATCTTGTTTAGCAAGTTCACACAGGTTAATTTCACTATACCCCCCCCCCCCCCTTTCTTAATAAATAGAACCTATTTTTGGGAGCAACATACATAGCCATTTTTATTTTACCTTTTAATGCAATCCACAAAATCTGTTGTTCATACTGTATCTTAAAGATTGAAATCCCTATGTCCTTGACATGGCTATGATGTTTTACAAAATACTAAGGTCCTGTTGTGCTCATACATTTCTCCCCCTTTTAATCTTGTTCATTCTGATGAGAAATAAGCTGGTCATTTTGTGATGGAAGAAATACATGATCTACTATAACCAATAGCAAAAACATTTTTTGTTATTCACTGGATGTCATAAGTTGACTATTACTTCACCTTTATCAAACAAAGCAATTGTCTGGGCATCTGATTTGTTCACTTTGCCAAGAGGGATGGCTTCCTGTTGCATATTTTGGCATTGGTTGCTCTAGTGTTGTGGTCTTCTCATAGGGAAGTCCGGAGGTGGTGTTTTCATTGAAAGCATTTGTGGCATGGCTGACTTTTTCCTTGGACTTCTTTTATTTCTCTGATGGTAGATTATATTTTGGAAAATGGTTTAAAGAAAGATTATAGGAATTTTTAGGTTTGGAAAATGATTTAATGTTTGTGGTAATTGTTAATTTTTAGAGCTGTTGTACAAATGCTAATACTTTTTTGGTTTGTTTTCCTTTGTTCTGATTAGAATTGATGTACATAACCATGGGCAAATGTAGACTTGGGAGGGGAATGACCAGCTATGGTTGATAGTCATGTGATATATACAAGTTGTGAAATTCATCATTTATATGTATCATAAAGCAGTTTGTATGTTTCAAGGATGATTGTAAACTACTAAAATTTAATTAAGGGTATTCAACTTGGTATTATAGTTTCATCATTAATTGAAAATAAAAATTTGCATCAAAGACTGGGGAAAATCCATAGTAGTCCATCACAAGGGCACATGAATTCTCATGACGTAAGCAAGATTAAGATGAAAAAAATTCTTTACGACCAGGTGGATTTTGCCTGAAATAGATAGTCCTTTTATCTTGGTAAGGTACTGATGGGCAGGTTGGATTAGGCAGCAGAAGGAGTGCTGGTATTGTCAAAGGGTTTTTTACACAACCCGAGTGATGCAGTGGCAGTGCTGGCATGAAAGTGAAGCTAAACCTGTGAGTTGGTGTTGGGAGATGGTGTCCAGAAATATCATGGTAGCCACAGCAGTCCTCCAAGCTGACTCTTTGCCAAGTGTCTGCTTCTGCTCATGTCACTTCACCAACACCCACACTTCACATGGTTCACTGCCAGTGATTATTGTTTGTTCATCCATTCTGCAATTCTGGTGGTTTTATGTAGTTTTATTTTATCACATATTTTTCCCCCATCCTCCCTTCCCCAGAAAGGGGAATGATGATGATTTTATAAACCCATTTGGTGCTTAACACAGCACATGTATTATCCTCTGTAGTTCTGTGGAAAAGTGCCCCATTCCAGTCAGTCAGTCAGGTCTACCAGACCTTACCCTGTCCTTGATATATATATAATATATATATATTTATTTATTTATATTTATATGATTATATTTATTTGAAAAGTAATTATGATAATAATTAGGTATGATGAATATGGTTTGATTTTCAATGTTCATAACAATTATTACCCTTACAATGAACAATATTTATATGCAAAATTACTGCTTAAAAGTCAACAAAAAGATGAGTAGTGAAGATTAAGTAGGCCAGGTAAATGGCTCCTTGTTACTAGGTACTTTTGGTGCCATCTATGAGGGGGGTGGGGTGGGTGGGGATTACAGGACATGGCAAATGTACACACCTGTGTCAGTGGGGTAATTGCCTTTTTAACATACCTGCTCTCCCTGTAATCATTATATTTGTAATTGAATTTTTAAAAGAATATGGAAAGTTAAGTGAATGAATTTTAGTGAAATGTAGTGGTTGACTGATGTTTTGGGGAGATCAAAAGGGAAAAAATAAAATTGTGGCCATGAATGAGAAAGAAAGCTTTGATTTGTCAGCTCCCTTCCCATTGGTGGCCATAGCTTTCTTGAAGCTAATACAACAGTAGTTGGTGTTGAAAGTAATTGCGCTTGTTAGACTATATTATTTTGTTGTCTGGAGGATTAAGAAATTGTTGGAAAAATAGCTTTTGGGAAAATAAGCTTTACTGTCTTGTTTTTGCTCTTAATGAAATGAAGTAATGATTTTTGTACAAAAAAACTGTAGAATTTTGTATTTAGTCATTTTAAGGTAGTATTTAATATTGTGTGAAAGTTATGCATATGTGCGCATGTTTTTGAAATAGATTTTCAAGCATTTATTTTACTTCGCCAAGACAAGGTACATGTTCAGAATTATCGTAATGCACTTCATCAGAGATGACTTATCTGCCTGTAATTCTCCAAAGATAACATCTAACTTAGAACTTCATCAGATACATGATTACTTACCTTATCAGTGTGTAAATAAACCACTAAACACTTTGAGTGTAGAACTTCTGTATTTAAAGTTTGAAAGCTAGGCACCTGCTTCGTTAACAAGCACCAGGTAATGGCAATGCCAGTAGTACAGATTCCTTGGGATAGACCATGAAATTACAATGAAGCCAAAGCATAGGGTGACCCTCCCTCATTTTTATATGGGTGCAGATTTTTATAAATACTCAGAAGTGTTTAGATGAAGTGAACAACTGGGCAATCTATATTAAATCTTTCTTGTTAGAGGTGATGACAAATGTTCAGAAATAATACAAAAATGAAATTGGTGTGCCAGGGTTTTGTGTTTGCATTTTTACTCTTTGATGTTAGGATCCACTCCTCAGATGGGTAATAGGGATTGAGTTTGTGAATTTCTAAGTAAGTGGTTTTTCTCCTTTTGAAAAGGTTTCCTCCTTTCCCACCTTGAAGTCCTTGAAGTCTGTTGTATGTATTTGATCATTATTATCATTAACCCATTGGGTTGATGGTAAGAAAGTTCTCATATATTTACCCAGTTAAGTTTTTCTAAGAAAAATATTTTTGGTACTATTGTATTGTACTATGTTAATCAAATTTACACACGTGTGCGCGCACCCACCCTACACACGCACACCCACCCTACCCGTGCGCACAAACACACGCACACATTGGTTTTACCTGGCATCGATTTAAGAGTGGTCATTATTGATAATGTTACTATTTGAATTCTGTTACATAAGATTGATTTTCCTGTAGACAACAATAAGTAAATAGTTGTCCCCCCCCCCCCCCCCTCCCTTGTAGTTTTATAATTCTTAATTATTTCTTTTTCCCTTTTTGAATCAGGTTGCTTACTTTAAGCAAGTTTTCTTTCAAAAAAAAAAAAAAAGTCCCTCGCTGCTTATAAACGGTAACTCTAACCTTTTGCTTTTATTGCAGGCAAGCGTGGAAGGGGGGTTCCCCGAGAAGAAACCACACCAGCCAGAGAGACTGTGGAGGAGCCCCCAGCTCAGCCCCAGCAGCCGCAGTTACCAAGCCAACCCCAGAAGGCTGCAACACCACCTGCAGCTCAAAATGCCACCAAACCCACTAGCCAGCCTGTTGTTCAGCCTCCAAAGGAGAAGACACCAGAGCTAGCTCAGCCTGTGAAATCACAGTTGCCACCAGTGCAGAAGCCGGCATCCGCTCCCTCCTCCAAAGAGGCAACACCCCAGCCAGAGTGCTCCCCCTCCCCCCCTGAGGAGGTGCCTAGTGACCGTGCCTCAAAGGAGAGGGAAGTGAACAGCATAGAGCGAGAAGTCAACAATGTTCATGATGATGAGGAGGAGAAGAAGGATGATGGCCCTCAGCTGAAGTACAACTATAAGGATGGTAGGTTTAACATCACGGTTTGTTTCATGAGGTGTGGCAGGTACAGGCTGTAGTCTTCTGGTTTTGTTTCGAGGCCTTGTGCAAAATGTTTAGTCCAACCGTCGGTTTCCACAGGAAAGCCACTCTTGCCCCCTCCCCCTATTCTCTGCCTTGCTTCCTTTTGCTTGTTTGGATAATTCATGAATACTTTGCCATCCATGATTAACCCAATGATGCCGGGTGTACAAAAAAAAACTACGCTCTAGCAAACAAAGGCGGCGCGCCGCCGCAGCGTACGGCTGCATGCCAGCTTTCGAGCAGTTTGTTTTCACGCCGATCGGTGTCACCCGGCATCAAGGGGTTAATAGTCTTCTGCTCTTCTGGGAGTGTGTCAGGGAAGATTTTTTTTTTTTTTTTTTTTTTCCTTTTTCTTTTAATGCTTGCTCTTTTAATGGCCAATGTGTCTGTGTCACATACATATGAACCTGGTGTATTTATTAACATGCATTTTTGGGCATCTTTTTAGATCAGTGGAGCCCTGTAAATCCTGAAGGTAAACGTCAGTATGACCGCAGATTTCTCCTTGAGCTCCAGAATAACCCACTCTCCCTTAAGAAGCCCGAGTCCCTCCCCAACTTGGAGGTGGTCCGTGATGGGCCAGGAAGGGTAAGTTGAAAAGCGTGTTTTGAGGGCGTGTGATATTGCGAGTTTCTGGTGTGATAGGGTCTGCCTTTAAAAAGCTATATCTGTCGTAAAATAAGGTTTGTTCGTTATAACAATGTTTTCATCTTGCAGCTTAAGCCTTTCGACCGGGGTGTAGGGGTTTCACATGGCAGCAGCGGCCCAGACTTTACTCCTGATTACTTCAAGTCTACAGTTCCAAGCAAGGTATTAGCAGTTTACAGAAAATGATTCACTTTGTGATGATAATGAGTTGTGAAAGCCAAGGAAATAAGTTTAACTGGTTTTCTGATACCTCCTCTGAAATGTGTTATTTTATTGCATCAGAGAGGAGTACCAGGGCGCAATAGCCAACAGCGCCGAGAACCAGGAGGTGGACCTGGGAGCAGAAACGACCGAGGAGGAAGTGGCCGTGGACAGAGCAAGGTCATCATCATCCCTCTCTCAACGGGACGTGAAACTAAGCTGAAGACAACAGAAAATGCTTGGAAACCTTCTGTTAAGGAGTCCAATATTAATGATGAGGAAGCTCAGACTATTGAGGTATGTGCTAAGATTTTGTGGTGGTGAAATCTTGTGATTTTTTATGGTTGTGTTAAGGAAAAAATGGAAATTTAATTTCAAAAGGTTTCAGACAAGTGTTCAGAGATGTTTAATGTGGGTGAGCTTGTACGACTAACCTTGTTCTGTATTGTTCAGGTGGTGAAGAGGATGAGAGGCATCTTGAATAAATTGACTCCAGAGAAGTTTGAGAAACTTGTTGATACAGTCAATCAGATGCCCATTGACACCACAGAAAGACTTTCAGCTGTGATTGATCTTATTTTTGAAAAGGTTTGTATGGGTAGATATTTGATAGTATTGTTATTGTTGTTATTATTGATAGTGTTGTTATTGTTGATCATCTGAAATAAAACGTTTTCTTTCTCGTAACAGGCTGTGGATGAGCAAGGTTTTTCTTCAACCTATGCTCAGATGTGTCAAGTACTCTCCAAAATGTCTGTCCGTGGGGAAGGTTCAGACTCCAGCAACAGTGGCAAGTCTGAAGTTAAATTTAGGAATCTTATAATTAATAAGTGCCAGAAGGAGTTTGAAAAAGATAATATGGAAGAATTTAAGGCGACCAGACGGAAAGAAATAGATGAATGTTCTGATGTAAGTAATTTTTTTTCTCTGTGAAGGAATATTTTTTTGCATCTTCCCAAATTGAATGGGGGAAAAAGTGACATCACTTGGTATAATTACTTTTTTGATGAGATCTGTTATAGTTGAAAATTTCTTTTTGAAATATGTATTGAAACTTTACTCCCTTTACAGGCTGAGAAGAAACAAGAATTGTTATTGAAATTAGATTATGATGAGACCAAATTAAGAAAAAGGTCTGTAGGCAACATTAGGTTTATTGGAGAGCTCTATAAACTACGCATGTTGACGTCACCGATTATGATGCGCATTATCGGTACACTATTGGAAAAGAGAGATGAAGAGTCCCTTGAGTGCCTATGTAAACTTCTTACTACAATTGGCAAGCTCTTGGAAACACAGTGCAACCAGCAACCAAAGGCAATGGTAAGTGGGCAGTTAACTCCTTTATGACGCCGGTAGGCGTGAAAACAAACAGCTTGAAAAGTGGCGTGTGGCTGTACGCCGGTGCGTCGAGCCAGTGATTCGGCCTGATGTATCGAACTCCTGCACTCAAAGTCAGTGCGCTGCCATGGTTCGCCAGAGCGTAGTTTTTTTTTCTTCACCCGTCATTAGGATAAATACCATGTGAAGTTTTGTATTATGGAAAATATTATTCCAGGTACTTTGTGTTATGAGGAATATTATATATTTTTTTTCTCTCCAAAAATGGAACCCCCCCCCCCCCCCCCCCCCCCCCCCCCCCCCCCCCCCCCCCCCCCCCCCCCCCCCCCCCCCCCCCCCCCCCCCCCCCCCCCCCCCCCCCCCCCCCCCCCCCCCCCCCCCCCCCCCCCCCCCCCCCCCCCCCCCCCCCCCCCCCCCCCCCCCCCCCCCCCCCCCCCCCCCCCCCCCCCCCCCCCCCCCCCCCCCCCCCCCCCCCCCCCCCCCCCCCCCCCCCCCCCCCCCCCCCCCCCCCCCCCCCCCCCCCCCCCCCCCCCCCCCCCCCCCCCCCCCCCCCCCCCCCCCCCCCCCCCCCCCCCCCCCCCCCCCCCCCCCCCCCCCCCCCCCCCCCCCCCCCCCCCCCCCCCCCCCCCCCCCCCCCCCCCCCCCCCCCCCCCCCCCCCCCCCCCCCCCCCCCCCCCCCCCCCCCCCCCCCCCCCCCCCCCCCCCCCCCCCCCCCCCCCCCCCCCCCCCCCCCCCCCCCCCCCCCCCCCCCCCCCCCCCCCCCCCCCCCCATCTGTTATAGTTGAAAATTTCTTTTTGAAATATGTATTGAAACTTTACTCCCTTTACAGGCTGAGAAGAAAACAAGAATTGTTATTGAAATTAGATTATGATGAGACCAAATTAAGAAAAAGGTCTGTAGGCAACATTAGGTTTATTGGAGAGCTCTATAAACTACGCATGTTGACGTCACCGATTATGATGCGCATTATCGGTACACTGTTGGAAAAGAGAGATGAAGAGTCCCTTGAGTGCCTATGTAAACTTCTTACTACAATTGGCAAGCTCTTGGAAACACAGTGCAACCAGCAACCAAAGGCAATGGTAAGTGGGCAGTTAACTCCTTTATGACGCCGGTAGGCGTGAAAACAAACAGCTTGAAAAGTGGCGTGTGGCTGTACGCCGGTGCGTTGAGCCAGTGATTCGGCCTGATGTATCGAACTCCTGCACTCAAAGTCAGTGCGCTGCCATGGTTCGCCAGAGCGTAGTTTTTTTTTCTTCACCCGTCATTAGGATAAATACCATGTGAAGTTTTGTATTATGGAAAATATTATTCCAGGTACTTTGTGTTATGAGGAATATTATATATTTTTTTCTCTCTCCCACAACAGCAAGAATTGGATAAACATTTTGTACAGATGGAGAAAATAGTGAACGACCGCTTGACCAATAGCCGTGTTAGGTTCCTAATGATGGATGTGATTGACTTGAGGCGAAACAAGTGGATTCCAAGAAGAGAAGACAACAAGCCCAAAACCAAGGCTGAGGTCCATGAGGTGAGTGTGCTGGCTTTTGTTTTTAATTGGTGGTGAACGTCATTCTGGTTATTTCCTTTTTTTATAACTTTTGTTTGAGTGTAGATTTAGAAGGTGATGGAGGGTATGGAGTGTTTAATGCTTTTGGTATTGCAATTGCAGGAAGCAAAGAGAGAGGAGATTGAGCAGCAGATTGCCCTTGCTTCTACTCCAAACCGTAGGGATGAAAGGAGAGATGACCGCGACCGTAAGCGGAGCCGTGATAACCGCGGTCCTCCTATGTCTGAGGATGGATGGAATACAGTTGCATCCACCAAGAATAGGGCATCATTTGATTCTTCACGCCTCAAAAATACTTTCAATAGGGTAAGATTTGTCAAACGTCTTTGGTCATTTCGTGTTTGGACATGAATTTGCTATCAAACATTTTATGATGAAGTATTTTGAAGTAGAGTAACTTTCTGTATTGCTATTTTTGCAAATCTGTAAATGTTTATTACAGCCGGGAGCAGCCGAGGGCAAGGAAGTAACATTGAGAGGCACAGGATTCAGCAGTTGGGCACGTGGCAGCTCAGGGGGTGGCTTGAAGGACCACGATGAAACAAAGCAAGAAAGTAATAGGTTTAATGTGCTGGGAGATAGTATGGGAAACAACTCTCTACTTAATGATAATAGAAGAGGAATTCCTTCATCAATGGGGTAAGCATCGTGTATTTTGTTTGGACTGTAGAAGATAGACAAGACAAACAATTTGCATTATCTGACATCAACTCAATAATTTTATCCTTTTGTGATCTGCTTTTGTTAAAGGCTAATGTCCCGTTCCAGTGGAAACAGACTGGCTCCTGGAGGAGGGCCACCAAGGCAAGGTGTCTTTAGCAGTAAGAGTATGCCGCCTCCTTCCAATGACAAGGAAAGTGCCTTGTCTGCAGTCAAGAAGTTTGTTGGCCCTGGTAAGTGTTTATTTAATAACAGTTCTTATGAGTATTTTCTTTTTTCCCCTACCTTCCTCCCCTCTCTTCAATACCTAAAATATATTATATTTTCCAGACCGAAGCAAATCTACTAGTCGTCCAGAATCAAGGGATAACTCAGTGCCTAGGGAAACTGGTGAATCTCTTAAGGGTTCTCCAAATATTAATTCAACAATGGCTGAAAAGTTGGCCATTGCAATCATTGAGGAATTCACCCACAATAATGATCCTGAGGTATGTGTATGGTACTTTTAACTCTTGTCTAAATTTTCTTGCAACCTTTTTTGTTGGCAGAAGTTGTACAGGTTATGAGGTACAGAGGTATTTTATTCATTTTGATTAATGATTTTTTAACAATTTGACGATACTCTTGCAGGAGGCCAAGTTGTGTGTCAAAGAGAAGTTCTCCACCAACACCATCAAGTACTTTGTGCAGGTAACGTTAGATTGGGTGCTAGATCGTGACTCGACAAAGAGGAGGATGGTTGGACAGTTTTATCATGACCTCATTGTTGAAAAACTCCTCTCGGTTGATCAGTTCCTAGAAGGGTAAGTTTCCTAATCAGTACTAAAGTGTGTTGTGGTTTGATTATGTATTGGATAAAGTTGGCTCAGATTATTTTGATAATCATGTTTATATTCAAATTTGTTAAAGGAAATATTTAGATTAATGACTCCTTTTTCTATATTCAAATTTGTTAAAGGAAATATTTAGATTAATGACTCCTTTTTTCCCTCCTCCCCTTTCAGTGGCCAAGAAACTCTGTCAATGACAGAAGATTTTGCAATTGATATTCCTCAAGTGTGTGATTACTTTGGTGAAATATTTGGTAAGTTCCTGTCATTATAGCATGGTGCAATAATTAGCAACTGATTTCTATCAGAAAGAACTCCTCACAATCAAACATTTTATACATGCTTTTCTTCCACCAACAGCTCCTTGCCTGAATGACAATGCAGTTTCACTTCAACGACTCTGGGATTTATCAAGATATGCTGAAAATAAGAGTGCTGATGTCTTTGCCAGTATATTAGCCAAGGCTGCTAAGATTATTGTAAGTATTGTATGCATTATTGAAATAATCAGGGAATAACATGTATTTGACATTAATCCAATGCTGTCAGAGAACTGTAGTGTTCACTGTAATTTTTGTGAAATGTTTACATATAGATGGTTCCACAAGTGCTAAGCCACCAAGGAGGCAATTAGTAGACCTTTTGACCTCCCTTAATTTCCCCTTTCATTGAATTTTCAGGAAAAGTGTTTTTAACTAATACTGTTAACACTAATACTGTTACTATTTTAGATATGATTTTTATCATGTTGCTAATAGTACTAATAGCAGTATGAAATTAAAGAATATTTACGGAAATTAAGGGTAAATGTAAATGGTCAGATAGGTACTATAAGTCTTGTCACTTGAGCCATCTGTGTGTTAAGATAATTGATAAAGTAAACACAGTGGGCATGACATTTAATTGCATGGAGTCCCCATCAACATTGGGTTAAAATTGAAAATAGGTGTTGCTATTGATGTAAATACTTAAATTACACACATTTTACATGGTTATGTTGGTATTAAGAAAATAACCAATCTTGTGTTTTCAGAGTCCCAATAAAGTAGCCGACCTCTGGAATTCATCTGGACTAAGTTGGTCTAGTATAGTTCCTCCTGGTGCCAATGTTGAGGAGTTCCTTGCCAAGCGTGTAAGTACCTTTGCTTATGTGATGGTAATGTGTACTGTTGGAAGAAATGTGGGGGGGGGGGGGGCTAGGGAAGCATATAATGTATATATGTATGTATATGTATGTGTATGTAAATGTATAATGTAAATTTGTATGGATTTCAAATATTTAAGTCAACATATGATTAATTTCTTGCCCTTCCTTGCAGCATGTGGAGTTCACAGTTGACCGTAGCAAGTCTGGAAATCAAGGTGGATGGAACCCTCAGAAGGTTGAGGCTGAGATTATTAGGTTGTTTAAGAGAGCAACTAATGAAGAAATATTCAGCTGGATTGATGTAAGCCACTGAAATGATATTGCCTTGGTGTTAGGCAATGCTATGCATATCTTACCCTTGATGTTGAATGGAAATGTTGAAATAGTGTGACTTGCTTGATTGTTATCCAGCTTTTTCTTTTTTTTTTTTTTGAGCACATGTATGCACAGGTACACACAGGTATTCACACATGTATGCACAGGTACACACAGGTATTCACACATGTATGCACAGGTACACACAGGTATTCACACATGTATGCACAGGTACACACAGGTATTCACACATGTATGCACAGGTACACACAGGTATTCACACATGTATGCACAGGTACACACAGGTATTCACACATGTATGCACAGGTACACACAGGTATTCACACATGTATGCACAGGTACACACATGTATGCACACGTATGCACACACGTATACACACACGTATGTACACACGTATGCATACAGGTATACACACAGGTATACACACACGTATGCGCACACGTATGCACAGGTACACACAGGTATACACACACACACAGGTATACACACACACACACACACATTGGCCTATATATATTTTCATTGCAGTTTTTTTCAATCAAAATAGTTACCTTCAGCATTTTATAGGTACTAGAGTAACTTTTTTTTTTCTTTTCAGGCAAATATTGGAAAAGATGTTAAGAGCAGCAAATTCATACGTGCCTTGGTGACCGCCTTAGTGGAAAGTCAAGCTATGAGTAAGTGGCATTTGGGTGCAGTTAAAAAAAAAATTTTGTGGGAAAGGATTTTAGTCCTAGACCTGAAAAAATATTTGGAATCATATTTTGAAAATTAGTTGTCAGCAGCCTATTTGCATTGTAAAGCCTGTAATGATGTTAACAGTGATTAATCTTTATTTCCCCCCCCCCCCCCCCCCCCACCTTTAACCTCCCAGCTTCCAATGATGGTTCCTCAATCCGTGTTACTGAAGACTTTGAGGTGAAATTGAAGAAACATTTGGCTGTGGTGCTCAAATATGTGGACAGCAGTGACAAGTTAGAACTACAGTGTATTTATGCTCTACAAGCTATCAGTGTGAAGCATCAACATCCCCCAGGTTTGTAAAGGGTTGATTTCTTTGCAATGATTTAAGAGCAGTATGAATGTAGTATAAAGATTTTTTTTTTTTCCAAAAGTGTTTGATATGTGATTGAATCTAATCTGTTCATGTTTCCACTTCAGGTCTTCTAGAAAAGTGTTTTAATGCCTTCTATGACTATGAAGTCGTGTCTGAAGAGGCCTTTGATGAGTGGGCCAAGTCTCTGGATCCAGAGGAGCAGGAGGGAAAAGGAGTTTGTGTCAACCTTGTTAAGAGCTTCATGCGATGGTTAAAAGAAGCTGAAGTAGAAGAAGGAGAAACTCATACCTAAGCTCCTTTTAAATATGAACCCTATAATCTTCCCTCAGTAGCTGCCCACTATACCAGGTCAAGTTCTTTTGTAACTGATGGACGCGGATATACAAGGAAATGTGAGCAAAGATGAAGTGAAGTTGGAGCCAAAGCCAGATATAATTGCGCCACAATCTAGTGAAGTGTCGAGCCTGGCAGAAGAGGCAGATGCTGCTATATATACACCCACCCTTTTCCCCTTAAAGTGATGGGGTGCCACTGGCTGGAGCTCGGACCGTCTCCCTGTTGTCTCGCTCTCGGAAGGAGAGAGAGCTACACTGCAGGCAAGACCTGAGTGATGGCTGGAGCATGAGGTGGACTCGGACTTAGTCATGCTGCCCTAATGTGTTTTTTATATTGTAAATTAGTGCATATGCACACGGACAAATGGTTAATAGTGTTCTGTGAAAGTGCGTATAGTGAGTTATAAGAATGTTTTGTAATATTTGCTAGGGTGAGCATCAGTTGCATATTAATTGTTATTGTGTTATAAAATAGTAAAATGGAAAACTGCATTCCCTTCACTTCCAAGATAATGAGTGATTGTATAGAGGATATATGCATTTAGATACTTGAAGCTCAGTTACTTGTTTACAGCTTGGCTCCTCATATGTTTTGTAAATTATGGCTCAAATTCTGTGATTTATTTTGTATATTTATATAAATATTTAAAAAGTCATGTACAGACCCGAGCATGTGCCTATGGCTGGAGGATATGCTTGCTGGCTGCTGTCAACTCATGAACTCTCCCATTATTCAGGGACATCGACCCACTGTTGAGTTTGAATATGCAAAATGTGACATTTGCAACCTGCAGCGAGTCGCTGTGTGTCCCGTTGAGTGCTTGCTACTCTGCTAGTTGTTATGCCGAGGCAGCCGGGCCCCGGCCTGTGCCCTGGACTGTGTGACCTACAGGCATGGCAGTGATCTCCCATGACCATGCCTGACACGACCATCCCCTTCCTAGGCAGACGCTTGATCCGTGCTGTCCCTTTTTTGCTGCTGCTGTGCTTTGCTACAGATTACAGTGATTGCTGCCCTGTTATGAGTACATTTTTTGTGGCATAAATACTGTGACCTGTTTTGACCAGACGGACTCGTGACCACGTGCTAATTAGTGAGTTGGGCACAGGACGGAGTTCAACTTCTCGTATCGTTAATGCGGTAATATAAGCAAAATGGAAAACTGGGGTTATATTTAAGATGAAGTGCTATAAATGAATATTGTAAACCATATCGCCTCTGAAAATAAATTTAATATTTACAAACTATACTTTCAAATATCCTGATTATTGTATAAAGAAGTGTAGGTTCTCAGATTAGTATTTATTTCATCAGTTATTTTTGTTTAAAATATGATAAGATGCCAAAAATAGTTATGCCAAAAATAGTTTGCTAATCTCAATTTTTTTGAAGAAAGGGAAAACAAAAGCAATTTATGGATCTGTGCCTTTACTCTTGTCACATCATCAAAGTAGACCTTGTCTTATTGTGCTAAACTCGGATTCTTAATTGTTTTTAATGTCAAAATATACTTCAATCCTAGTAAAATTGGGGAGTGTAAATACATTGAGATTGCTTTCGCAATATACATTGAGACTATCTGTCAGATAGTCTGGAATTCTGACATGTTTCCTAGAATAAGTTTTATCTGAGAGTGAAACCACCACATAGATATGTTTATGAATTAAGTCCATGGAAGATCCTGCTCATCATGTTAAATTCTAATGACTATTCCTTCCTTGTGTAAAATATTTGACAAGAATGATGATAGTACACTTTACTGCTTTGATATTCTCTATCATGACCAGGTTTTATGAAAAGGGGATTGGAAAATGAGCCCAACACTGGCATCTTTAACTCTGCAAATAAACTACCAATACAAGTATTGATATTATGCAACGCAAATACTTGGAGCTGAAACACTGATAGCTGTTGGAAAAAAGAAAATTGGCAGCTAAATTTTGGAAGTAACATAAATTTTAAATGCCCAGAGATGTACACAAGAGCATTTCAGCAAACTTTATCCAAAAAACACTTCTTACGTGAAAACTCGAGGACCGAGAAAATGGCGCCTCCCCCCCTCCCTTGTTCTTTGTTGTCGTGGGGGAGGCCTCAGGAGACGGGGACTGAGGCCCATTTTAGATCACCCCTACCTTGGTCCTCAGCCCTCGCCTAATCTAATTTTGCATGATCTTTTCTTCTTTCCTGTTCTTTACCTTACACTATACCCCATCTTCCCTCTCTACCATTTTCACTAACATACTACCCTATAGTTCTGTCCAACCTGTGACTTACCATAATCATTGCTTCGTTCCTAACCTTATAGATCTTCCTACGTTTATCACTATATTTTGAATGTGCCGCTATGACCTTGGATGTTGACGCGGCAGAAAATTTTCAGTAAATGATTAAATCTCTTAAAACTGACAAACACTTGCATGATCAACCTGGGATAAGTCTGAAAATGAAAATAGCGAACCATTAATCTAAAAGTGCACTCGACACTAGTGCACATACATACTGTCAAACGTTCATCTTGCTCTGTAGCCGTGGGAGGCTTTGGAGGCAGAGACCGAGGCTCAAGGTAGGGGTCACCGCTAACTTGAGCCTCGGCTCTCGTCTCAACTAATTTTACATGGTCTTTTTTCTCCTCCTTTCCTTTTCCTTCTCTTGCAGAAAAGGTATGCATGAGAATGAATATCTTCAAAATACTAGAGCTGTATATGACCGATTTCGATTATATCTTCGTCAGAAAATTTCCAGACGAATATAATCGAAACATGAATACGGTTTTTCCTTCTCTTCTTCATCCCTTCGGTTCATTTATCCTAATCGTTAACAAAGTTTTATACCCTTATCGCCACAATACTTCGTCATAATGCTGTATACCCTTTGATGTCTGGCACATGTATTTGTTTTGACCATTAACCGTTCTGGAAATCCACAAACATCACCATGTGAACCAAAAAACTTCATCCCCAAGCCCTACTCTTGCGTTATATTTCGAATAGGCCTTTATATAGGCCGCTAATGGCCTTAGATGCTGACGCGGCCGAAAAAAAACATTAAACGTTATATAGAGCTGTCTGAACCCACTTCCGTTGGACGGAAGAAGAGGCAATGTATTTTTAGGTACTGTTTGAATGAATTGGAGCATGAGATTATTGATGATGATTACGAGCAAAGCAATGAAATGGTATCTGAAAAAATATGTATGAAAAACTGTTTCCCCCATATATATATATACATATATATACATATATATACATATATATATACATATATATATATATATATATATATATATATATATATATATATATATATATATATATATATACATATATATATATATATATATACATATATATATATATATATATATATATATATATATATATATATATATATATATATATATATATATATATACATATACATATATATATATATATATATATATATATATATATATATATATATATATATATATATATATATATATATATACATATATATATTTATATATATATATATATATATATATACATATATATATATATATATATATATATATATATATATGTATATATATATATATATATGTATATATATATATATATATATATATATATATATATGTATATATATATATATATATATATATATATATATATATATGTATATATATATATATATATATATATATATATATATATATGTATATATATATATATATATATATATATATATATATATATATATATATATATATATATACATATACATATACATATACATATTAGTACCATGTACAATATTAGCCTTTGGTTTTTCACAGTGTAGATCAGTGCATTTCCTTGTAACGAGTTACTCGCGGTTTAATTCTGACTGCCCTCTGTTACTGAAAAAAGTGTGCAGAGAGAGAAATAGGGACGAAGAAAGAGAGCAAGCTAGAGTGTACGTGCAGGTTTCTTAAGAGATTTATCCAATTCCATTCAAGTCTTATGTAGTGCTAAAATGTAAACAAAACTGCTGCTATTATTACCATCCAAAACGGGTGAGTCATATATATATATATATATATATATATATATATATATATATATATATATATATATATATATATATGTTTATATATATTGTGTATGTGTGTGTGTGTGTATGTGTGTAACCAAATATGTGCCCAGACCACTGTTTTACAGCCAATTGTTGATAAGTCAAGCAAGATATTTTATATAAGTGATAATCATGAATTTCACAATGCACCCATGTTTATTGAAGGGTGTAGTTTCAGTTGAATACAGCTATATAGTGCAAGATAAATGTCTGAAATTAACAGAACGATAGGAATGAAGACATTTCATCTATATTATTATGTCGCAATTGGAGCAAAAGAAAGTTATGTATGGTAATACACTGGTATGTATTTACATCAAAATCTAATGACGTTATCCTAAAGAAAGGAAAAGCTACGTTCTATACCCCCCTCCCCCCACCATCCCTTGCTCGTTGTTACCGCGGGGTGGGGGGGGGGCTTACCTTGGCCCTCAACCCTCGCCTCAATAATTCTGTCGGGTCTCTCCTTTTCCTTTTCTTCTTCATTCACATCTGCCCACTTATTCTAATAGTTAACTCACTTTACTCTTTTCGCCACATTTTTTGGTCATAATGCTACACTTGCCCCCAAGCCTCACCCTATCGCTGCATTTTGAATACGCCACTTACATGTCGCGGCTGAAAATTTTCAATAAGTAAATAATACACTCAGTGATACATGAAATAATCTACACAGGTTGATAGTAGCAACAGATACGGTCTGGGGGCTAAGTTCCCATGTTAGGAAGTTTTTGGTTAATACGGCAATGGCTGGAATGGCTGGGGTAATAGGAGCTCTGTCTGAGCCGGGCACAGCCACTTAGTAAACAATTACCAATGCTTTCACTTACATAGTTTCTGACGGAAAATAAAACGGAATCGCACATATTACACTGAATGATTGAATCTAAGAATAATACTTGTAAGATTGGATGGCTGTGTAAAAATGAAAATCAAATACCATTGGAGGTGGTAATACTTTATAAAATATTAATTGAAATGTGATACTTAAGAATCGGCTGTTTCTGATGTAAGTCCATGGAAGATTCTGCTCAACAATGCTATTTCTGATGTAAGTTCATGGAAGATTCTTCTCAACAATGCTAAATCGGAACACAAGTGCTCTGGCAAGATTTAAACTCGGAAGAAAGAACTCTTCTGGAGTGGCCAGGGGCCGGCCCGGATTTACTAACGCATGTACGGGATCGCATTAGGTTTGCTTACATCGTAATCAAAACCCTTCCGAGGTCGCAAATACGCCTCCGCACGAGAGACAGCAGCGGGTGCCCGAAGCCGTTCATATCAGCCCCATAACCCTCATGAGTGAGCAACTGTGACTTTTCTTTGGGGAAATTAATCAATGTGTGAGAGCAACAAATTTAGGAGGAATAGTAATAGAAAAATATGTCTAATGTAAATAAGGATGGCCTTTGTCGAGCCGCGAAAACACTTAATGTAGAACTACTATAAATCATTCAAGGTTAGTTTATCATGAATTAAAAAGTGCTACTGTGACTTTTCTTTGGGGAAATCAATTAATGAGTTACAACAACTCATTTGAGAGGCATAGTAACAGAAAAAAAACTATGGCCAATGTAAATAAGGATGGGCTTTACCGATCCGCGGAAACACGTGATGTGGGCCTAATATAAATCACTCAGAGTGAATTAAAGGAATTCTTACACATCATCAGGTACGAAATTTAAATGAAAAAGTGTAACTTTCTTTAGAACAACAAAGTATAATGAATATTCAATAACAAGGGTTAGTAATTTATAGGCACAACTCTTAATATCCTAATATATATCTAGAACAACAAAGTATTGAATATTCAATAACAAGGGTTAGTAATTTATAGGCACAACTCTTAATCTCCTAATATAATATGGAATTAAAGCATTAACTTCCTGATGAATTAAAAAAAAAGGAAAAAATGTTTACTGTATTATTATAACAAATCTGTTATAGTATCATAATATCTTTATTAGGTTATAATGAAATGCTTTTGGGTGTTTTTATTATATATATATATATGATATAGATATATGTAGATATAAAATTTTATAAGATTTCATTGGTAAAGATGGTGATGATTAATAGAGGTTGTTACTAGTGAAAGTGACCCTTTGCACCCGTCTCTAAAAAAGAAAAGAAAAGAAAAAAAAAA